TGAAAGTTTTTGAAAAATTTGAAAGTTTTTGAAAATTTGTGAAATTTTTAGAACACTGGATTTTTTGAAATCTTTGAATTTTTTTGAAAATTTAGATTTTTTCAATGATGCTGAAATTTTATGAACCAGTCGGACAATTATTCTGGCATGAGAAATCTTATAAAAAAATTCTTAATTTTTCAATAAAAAACTTATATTTTGACATATACGTACTCTATATACACGTACATATATTCATTCATATACCTATGATATATATACCGATAAATTACGCTTAAAAAAATGTGCTTAATAATAAAATTGGACTGAATTTTTTTGTCTTTGATATAATTTTACCCTTCAGTTTTGAATTTTCGGTCCGTCATTGCTCTTATCAATTATCAAGTGTTTTATATGTTTTTATTTTTAACTTCTTAAAGTAGACTCTCATAACTTTTATGGGGATATTATTCATGTTTTAATTCGATGATTTATAAAGAGGCGATTTTTATTGAAAAATTTGAATCTTTTTGAACGTTTTGATATTTTTGGAACAATGGGATTTTTTGAACAGTGGAAAATATTGAAATTTCTTGAAAGTTTCTGATACACATGAAAAAAATAGGTACTTATTATTTGATACGCTTATGTTCAAGATTGTTGACCCTCAAATGGCATTTTCTAAAACTTTTTTTATTGGATCTCCGAAACCGCTGGATCTGCCTTGCTAAAATTTAATCAGTTCTGCAATTCACCAATACAAGGAAAATTGTTCTTTAATTTCCCTTAGGGTAAGTTATTGTAATAGTCCAAAAATCTAAAATAAAATATTTTGCACATATTCACGTTTTGAAGGTTTCTGAACATTTTGGCATACCTTAGAAAAAATTGATGTATGTGTGTGTGTTCGGATACAAATTTCCGTCGACGATTTCGGGGGCACCATTCAACCGATTTGAATGATTCAAAAAACTTTCGATTCCTATTGATGGAGAGACTTGCTGATTAGTTTTTGACAAAGACAGGTCGAGCAGTTTCAGGGCTAAAAGTGCCAAAAATGGTAGTTCAGTGCTTGAGAGAACGGAGCGTCCGATTTAAATAATTCAAAAAAATTTTTATGTATTTATGAAATGAAGAACTGATGCAATTTTTGAAAAGGCTGGTTTAGCGGTTTCGGAGATACATTAAAAAAGTAAGAAAAAATGCCATTTGGGGATAAATAATGGTCACAAACATATGCACATCAAATTATCAGGTATTTTACAGAGATTTTAATAATAAGTTTAAATTTTGTTTACATTTCTATGGGTTCGAAAAGCGGCGCTTTCGCGCTTCAGTATTTTGTCTCCCAAAAAGCTACGCAAAACAATTGCTTTAAAAAAATTACAACTTTTCAAAAAACTTCAAAATATATTAAAAAATTCTCAGTCCTTTCAAAAAAATTGCCATTTTGTGGACTCTTTGTTGCGTATCTCCTTAATGGCTGGACCCACCTTTGTCAAAACCTAATCAACTCGTCTTCCCATCAATACAAATAAAATGTTTATTGAATCATTCAAATCGGTTAATCCGAGTTCTCGAACTCGTCGACAAAAAAGTTTATCTCCACAAACATACACAAACTGCACCCATTTTTTCTAAGTTATGCCAAAATGTTCAAAAAGCCCTGAAACGTTAAGATATGCAAAAATTTTTATTTTCCATTTCTGGACAATTACAATAACTCTACGGGTAGTTAATAAGGTACAATTTCGTATTTTATGTTTGTTATTCATTTTTTGTTCGGCAATGTTATTTATTTATCACATTTCTGTGTACAAAATGTTCCTGAACTCTTTCCATTAAATAATTGATAATATTTATGTTGTAATATGGATCTTTTCCGATGGCGATGATTTATTTACGAATTCGTTCCGTTGAAAAGCATTTGTTGGTGTTAATCAATGATCCACAATCAATATAATAACCCGATAACCCGTTTTTACGATAAATACAGCTATTTAATAAAATATACTAAAACTGTCTATAATAGAAACTACCAGTGGAGGTAAAAGAATGGATGAATGTTTAATGAGAGAATATTTTTGGATCGATGGAGATAAAATGACTGTGTTTGGGTTAGAATTATTTTAAGTTCTAAAGTTTCAAAGAATTCTGTGAGACATAACATTCTGTGAGTCATAACATGACACCTGTATTACAATATCATTTTGCAAAAATGATACCGTATTTAGACATTGCGAATTGTTTCATCAATGCATAAATTCAAATATTTATGCATAAAGTGTAACGATCTAAAAATATATTTTGGTCATAATTATGGCAGACACAGATGAAAATGAGTGATTTAGGAAAAAAGATTTTTTCCAAAAAAGGAACAATTTCTAATATTTCAATATCAGTTTGAATAATTGAGCATCAATTTCCGAACATTTATACCTTTTTATATCAGTATATAATCTACTTTTCTACTTAAAATCAATTTGTGGTTTTCAGTAAAGATTTTGAATTTGTTACACTAATTTGCACCCTTTGGGACCAATCACTACCTTTTTTTTATTTGTTTACTGATGGCCCAATTTCTAATCTTGTATAACAAGTTGAACATTTTTTCAATCATTTTTAATTTTTTGCCCCAAACACGATCGCTTTGCCCATACTTCAATTTTAATTATTTACGCACTCCATAGAGGCGCCACTAACTGTAGCACGTAAATCTACCACTAGGTTTACATTCTAGATAAGATTTACTATACAAAATACGTATGTACCTGGTTAATTTGACTACATGAAATGAGAACTAAATATACGCGTTCAAAATCACAATCACAAATACATATGTTTTTACATATATATAATAAAAAAATATTAAATTATTAGAAGTGATAAATTATAATTTGTGAGAGTATGAGAGGCTATTTCAAGTGTGAACAAATATTTATCATTATCAGTTACACCTGATACAAAATCATGGGCCGATTCTGGCATAAAATTGACCAATGTTATGGCAAGGCTATGTTACGACCGAGTTTTTATACAAAATGCTACTAAATGCTGTCAAAATGCCATGTAGGCATTTTACACATAAAATGCAACTTCACTCATATGTTATCAAGCCACATCTCAAAGATGCAGTCATGATAATATCGTTTTTTAGACATTTGATTACATTTTCTACCACATAGGATTTTGAGTTTTTAGTACCACTTTGTATGAAAACTGCTACATAACATAGGTTTATTTTACGGCAGAATCGTCTTCTCAGAATCGTATTTAGCTACGGAAATGAACTGTTAAAGACTATTTAAAGATTTTCAATGTATCAGGAGGACATTTATATTTAGGTTTATTGTTTTAGAAACTGGAATAAAGCCACGGTAACGAATTGCAAAAATTCCAATGATACCAGAATAGATAGGACAGAATTAACTAGATTATTATTAATAAACAATTGATGCTAACTCTTGTGGAACCTCTTTAGTCTAACAATAAGATTATGTTGTTATCATAAAAAATCAGGAATGTTTGCGGCTTTTTTATTTATGAAATTATTAATTATGATATTAACAAACTTATTGCCAGAAGAGATTTGATACCAAATTTGGAACAAATCGTTTGACATCAAAGTTATAAATATTTTAGAATGTCAATATTTTGCTTACTCGTTCTCTTTTTCAATTCAATTCTTTTCGCCAATTTTCTGCTAATAAAGTGATAATTTTTACAAGTTTTACAAGCTAAAACTTACAAATATCACAATCATATGCTACATTGTTAATTAGTCATATCATACACTTGCTTGCTAATTAATTAAGGATTGTCAATCTTGACTTCATGTTTGTTAAAGAATTTTGCTTATTAATTACATTATTAATTATGGTACAAAAGTATAGATTAGAATTAAAAAAAAAATCCCATTTTTTCAGTACCATATTTGTATAACAGTTTTTAAGTTCATGATCTCTATTATCATCAAAATCGCGAACTTTGTTTTCACCAAAGAAACGGCTCTGCCGATCTTAACTCAAACCTAATGAGCATGATTTCTAATTGATATCTTTCAAACGATTTTTGAATTTTCAAAATGTTTTACCCAAAATTTTTATAAGAACTTTTCCAACATAGTCTTATGTAGTTAGTATGATATTAATACATCGAGGTATTTTTTTTCATTTTCTGTAAAAGTCTCATTCATTTAGCATAATTTTTTTTTCTCAATTTACGGCTGTGTTGCTCAGGACTTTTCTGCTTACATTAGATTTTTTTTAGGTTAAGAAGAATTTTTACGTTAGGAATTTTTTAAATTGATAAAAGTACAGTTTTGGATTGTGTAGAAATATTTTTTCAAAATATTGGAGGGAAAAACAAGTGCGAAACCTAGGCTGTATACCACCGTACTCACATTCATGCTAAATATTCAGTTTTGTGTTTACAAAATTCAGGAAAAATATTTTCGTATATTTTTCAATTTCTCATAAACTAAGGTGCCTATTCTGCGGTAACATAGCCGATAACAAAGCGTTATGCTTCTTTCTTGGTACTAAAAACTGTAGAAATGTCCATTTGTTGTGCGAGCAGGCGCATTTTACGTATGAACAAACCTAAATAGATAGATACTCGTATATATATAAATGTAGGTTTTATGTGTGAAACGCCAGATCGCACGGCAAATAGATAGACGTTTTTACAGTTTTTAGTACCAAGAAAGAAGGATAAGATGAGCGTTGCCATGTTATCGGCTATGTTACCGCAGAATTGGCCCCTAAGTTCATTTCATTTCACTTTTCTGTTTTATTTCTTTAATCAAAACTTCCAATACACCGCGTGTAAAAATTTATTAAATAAAAACATTCATGTTCAAAAAAATTTATACAAAGTATCAAATTTTTATATAAAAAATATCAAATTTTTTCGCTCGATTTCTACTAATTAATTTTTATGTCAAAATTTCCCTTCGGATTATGTTGTAAATTAAATTTCTGGTTTGCAAGAACATTTGAAGTCTTCGCTGTCGAATTCGCAAGTGCAGACTCCTGGTTCGCCTTGTTTTGTTTGGCAGGAACAGATCTTTAATTGGTCTAAGAACTCTTCGATGTTCTTGTAGTCCCTGAAAAATGATTGATGGAAATTAGTATGAATTTTTGAAGCAAAACTTCATTAAGCCCGACTTTTGTAAGCTCTGATTCGTCATTGGTTTAAGGGGTAATTCGATATTTTTGGTCAATTATTGGCAAACAAATAAGGGAAGGATAATTGTCATGATGAAATTAAAACGTCAAATAAAATTTACCAAAAATTGCATATTTTTGAAGAGAGTCTAAAATAATTTTACCTGTGCAACCATTCCGAAGTGATTTGGATTTTCTCAAAGGCCTGGTCTAAAGTAGCCTTTATGCCAGGAATATCATTGTCCTGGAAGAACTTCTCAATCTAAAAAATTGAAAAAAAAATGCTGAGGATTTAACTCGTAATGCAAAATGACGTGGATGCTATAGCATTCAAATTTTACAGTCAATTATTATGAATTTTATTCTATATAACCTTTATAACGTTTTTGTACTTATCAAACCTGACAAAGTGATAACTAAGATATTTTCATATTATCTTTGCTATTGAACAAGCGAAATATAGAAGCGCAATACTTGACGTGGATGCTATAGCATTCATCTAGTATAAGACGATTAAAATGTGATAATGGTATTTTCGTATTATTTGTCTTTTCCCGTAGGAACTAATTATCTTGTGCAAATAAATTTCGGATAATAGAAGCGCAATACTTGACTTGGATGCTATAGCATTCATCTAGTATATAACGATTAAAATATCATAGTAGTATTTTCGTATTATATTATCTTTTCCCGTAGTCACTAATTATCTTGGGCCAATAATTTCGGAAAAAAACAAGCTCAAACCTGACGTAGATGCTATAGCATTCATCTAGTATACAACTATTAAAATATGACATTCTGACTAATGACACTTTTATTGATTACTTTTCAGTTGATAGTGTTGATACTGCATCTTTTTTCACAGTCACTAATTTGACGTGGATGCTATAGCATTCTTCTAGTATATAACGATTGAAATAAGATAATAGTATTTTCGTATTATTTTATCTTTTCTCGTAGTCACTAATTACCTTGGGCGTGAAATACAAGCGCAAAACTTGACGTGGATGCTATAGCATTCATCTACTACATACACGATTAAAATATGATATTATTTTCGTATTATCTTATCTTTTCCCGTAGTCACTAATTACCTTGGGCATCCAAATTGCGTAAAATGGAAGCGTAATACTTGACGTGGATGCTATAGCATTCATCGAGTATATAACGATTAAAATATGATAATAGTATTTTCGTATTATTTTATGTTTTTTAATAGTCTAATTACTTTGGACAAAAAAATTCGGAAAATAGAAGCACAATACTTGTCGTAAATGCTATAGCATTCATATAGTATATAACGATTGAAATATGATAATAGTATTTTTGCATTATCTTATCTTTTTCCTTAATAATAATAATTTATACCTGCTTGCCTTATTTGGGCAGGAGAATCCTGCACAAATTGCAATAATGATTTCGTGCATACTTGTACCTGCACCGAAAATCTGTTTCAATTTTTCAAAGTTTTCCTTGAATACTTTCCATGCTAATGTACGGCCCACCTGAAGAAGAAAATCGAATAAAATTCATTTATCATAAAACATAACCTCCAAAACGCACAAAGGTGAAATATCAATTTCATACAAAGGTGAATTATCAATTTTATACGAAGATTGATATATAGATTTATCTGAAAATTGGACACTTATTGTTGCCTATAAGACAGTAAAATTGTAAAAAACTGTGTAGCCTGGTTTTTTCTACCGGAATTATTAGTTTTATATAATTTTTTTATTATTACCTGTGTTTGGGAAACGCTTTGCCAAATGTAGACCTTGTCCGGTGTCCTGATATCGTCTGTAAAACTGAAATCCAAAGCCCTTTGCAACATATCCTCACAAGAGGAATTTCCCATCGCCACAAGTATTTTAGTTCGTTCAGCCTGTAGAAAATAATATTAATAATAACAATAATATAGTATATATATTCTATATATAAAAATAAGTCGGGTTTTCCTTCCTGACGAAATAACTCCAGAACGCACGAACCGATTTCGACAATTTTGCATTCGTTGGAAAGGTTTATAGCTAAGAAAATTAGAGGTGCATGGCATCGTGCCTTAATGCAAATTGCTGGAACTTCATGTACCGTAATTAAAGATTCGAGTATGACATTAGTGAGAATTATCAGAATTATGCTTGGCCAAGTCAACGAACAATTCTTGCCGCAAAGAATAATGATGCACACGCACTGATTTTCACCATTCAATCAAAAATTGCTGGCGATTTGGTGACATACCAATGATTCCGACTGGTCTTCCGTTTGACTTCAAACGATTGCAATTTCCAGTTCGCCTCGCATTTGCAATAACAAGTCGCAAGGCCAATCGCTTAGTGTTTGCGGGATAAATTTCAAATAGATTATTTAGAAAATCATTGTTTTCACATGGGCAGTTGTACGTTGTCTGTTCACGAGTTGGAAAACCATCCGCTTTGTTTGTGTTAACGTCAGACCCAAAAAACAAAAAATGTGGTTTACCAAAGATCATTTCCATGAAACGGATAATTTGCGGATTCACATTCATTTACTTAGAGAAGTTCAACTAAAAAACACTTCATTTTTGTAATCGAAATAAATGCATTACTGTTGTGCGATAAAATCATATTTTTCCTTTTCAAATATAAAACAAACAAAAAATTTCTTCATCTTTCTCACGAAAACATCTGGTGGCGAAACGGAGTTCGTCGGGTTTGCTAATGTATATATATATATATATATATATATATATATATATATATATATATATATATATATAGTATGAATAAATGAATTCTTACTGGGTCTTTTTCCTTTCGATACAAATTAACCAATCTGTCGAACACGTCGTCGTCGGCGTCGGACATGACGGCAAGATACATCGGAAGTGTTAAGTCCAGATTTACATTCACGCTTGTTCCTCTCTGTTTTTCCTGGAACCTAAAATAATAAAAAAAACTAGTTGGTATTGGTATTTTCCCTTGAGGCAAGTGAGAAAACGTCGATTTACGGCAAAAAATCTGTTCACACACGCGCGCACACGCACACACACACATAATTTGGCCCGATTCGATTCAGAATGGCTTGAAACGTCGAGAAAACATAAAATTAGCAAATCGGATTTTATGATGAAAACATAAACTCCTTTGCGAAGTTAATAAACAAATAAGATATAAAGCCCTTTGAAATAAACTGACTATTCAGTTTAATGGCGAGTCGTGATAATATTCAAAATACTTGTTTATATGATAAAACGACCTAAAGAGACATTTGTTTTAAGGGATTGTGATATTTACAGTTTAAATGGTTCAGAGAATTTTAAACTTAAGTGTGACATGTGAGTCCGAAACAGAACATCGTGAAGAACATCTTGGTCTCCATTTAGACAGCAGACTTACTTGGAAAAGCCACATAAAAACAAAAAAGTAGCAAATAATGATCAGAATGAAAGAATTTGATTGGCTACTGCGTAAAAAGTCTAAGCTCTCTGTTGAAAATAAGTTGCTGCTATATAAATCAATCATTAAACCAATCTGGACCTACGGAATTGAGCTCTGGGGATGTGCTTACAAATCAAATATAGCTATAATGCAGAGAACTCAGTCAAAAATTTTACGTACAATTCTTAATTCTCTGTGGTACGTAACAAATGAAACCATTCACAGCAACATCAACATGAAAACGGTGCAATTAACGTTCAAAGAATTCAAGGAAAAATACAAACGCAAACTGGATTCAATATTCATTGAAACGACAATGGTCTTTAGACTTAGTCTTACTTATTAGATTAGGTCTAATAAAATATTATCATATTAATTGTTAAACTGAGAAGATCTCATTGGAGCTCTTCTTGGGCATCGCTCTTAAATATTGTCAATTTAGCTCATAGGAATCTTCATGTATTTCTGATTGCTAAATAAAACGAGTTAAAAAAAAGTGTGACATGTATCCATTTTCTTATAAATTTTATTTCTATATTTACTTTTTCTTTGCCTGTTTGATGAGTTTTTCATCGCCCAATTGAATAAGTCGAGTTATGACCAATGACCTAAGAAGACCTGTGGCTTGCGACTCTTCTTCCTCGGTTTCGTCGGGATCCCATTTCATTTTGTGACGAATCTTGAAAAATAAATAATAAATTACTATAAAATCTCATCAGAATACACACACACTCATACACACATACACACACACACGCACATACACACACACACACACTTTTCCCTTAAATTTGGTCTCATTCGATTCAGAATGACGTGAAACGTCGAGAAAACCTAAAATTGGCAAATCGGGTTTTTTGATGAAAACAAATTTCTCCTTCGGTTAAAACAATTTAGAATGTTTGACAAATTCCTAAGAAGTTTTACTTCAATTCAATACCTATATATATTCAAACGTTTTTATGCTGAAATTGTGTGGATGAAATCAAAATAATATTAAAATTGATATTTAATAAAAAAAATATTTGAAAAATTCCTAAAAAGTTTTACTTCAATTATGGCTAGTGTATATTTATTTTAACATTTTAAAGCCAAAGTTGTGTGGGTGAAACTTAATAAATTAAGTAATATTTAATAAAATCCATGTCGGACATTTAAAACAAGATTTCTAAGCGAAGTTCCTAAAAGTTTTACTTCAATTCTATACCCATATTGCTGGCTTATATACTCAATTGCGATTTGCATTAAAAACGGGAAGTAATTTATATGTAGTTTTTTTATCACCTTCGCGGACGTGAATGCTATAGCATTCATTTTTATTGTGATACGTGGATGCTATTACATCCAAGGCAGTTATAAAACCTTACGTTTTTGTAGTTATACCTGTCGTGGTACTTGACGTGGATGCTATAGCATTCATCTAATATAAAACGATTAAAACATGGTAATAGTATTTTTGTGTTATCTTGTGTTTTCCTTTAGTCACTAATAATAATAATTGCGGAAAATAGAAACGCAATACTTGACGTGGATGCTATAGCATTCATCAACGATAAAAATATGATAATAGTATTTTCGTATTATCTTATCTTTTCTAGTAGTCACTAATTATCTTGGGCAAATACCTGACGTGAATGCTATAGCATTCATCTAGTATAAAGCGATTAAAATATGATAATGGTATTTTCGTATTATTTTATATTTTTTAGTAGTCACTAATTACTTTGCCAAGCACATTGCGGAAAATACAAGCGCATTTTTTGACGTGGATGCTATAGCATTCATCTAGTATATAACGATTGAAATATAATAATCTGACTTGTGAAACCTTTATCGGGCGCGAACGTGTTAACGTGCAAGATTACTTTTCAGTTGAAAATGCATCTTTTTCCATAGTCACTAATTTGACATGGATGCTATAGCATTCATATAAGTATATAATCTGACTAACTGAATCTTTTACTGGGCGCGAACGTGTTAACGTGCAAGATTACTTTTCAGTTGAAACTTCATCTTTTTCCATAGTCACTAATTTGACGTGGATGCTATAGCATTCATCTAGTACATAACGATTGAAATGTGATAGTAGTATTTTCGTGTTATCTTATCTTTTCCCGTAATCACTAATTACCTCGGACAAGCACTTGGCGTAAAATAGAAGCTCAATACTTGACGTGGATGCTATAGCATTCATCTAGTATTAAACGATTAAAAATATGATTACGTAAATAAAATAGAATATTCTGAATATCCCTTAAGCAAATTTCGGACATCAAAACCAAATAAAAACTAAAATTACAGTCTTTATCTTTTGCTAATTTTTTTTTCTTACAGTTGAGAAGAGAGCTTTGCAAAACTCCTTGAACCTCTCGTGATAATTCGTATGTTGGGTCAAAGCCAAAAATTGTTCTATGCAGTTGTTGACACAACACCAAACAGAATACTCATCATCGTGCATGTAGACCTCCATTAGACGCAAAACCTAAAAAAAAAGAAAAACAGTTGGATATCCTACTACCCTTAATAAATCCTTCATCCTCACATCACCAATATCGATCCTCCCAGCTTTTGCGATGGCAAACATGTCGTTTAAAATGTGCACCCTGTCCGGTGCATCCATGGACCTGTCTTTGATCGCCGGAATAAATGCTTCGATCATATATTGTGGATAATGAACACGATAAAAATCTCGGTTGCTGGGGTTGAATTTTACCCAATCTTTGCAGCCACAATTCGGCACCAGGACTGGCACCACTCTGGTGTCCATAATTGTGAGAAACTCGGGCTAGGTAAAGGAAAATTGTTGATTAATAAAGTAGTCGATTTGGTACTAAAAGATGTGGAAATGTCTGTTTATTTGCAGTGCGATCTGGCGTATTTTAAATATAAACCTAGAAAGATGTTATCACAACTGCATCTTTGTGATGCACATACACTTTTATGTGTAAAATATGCCTGCTACAGCAAATAAATAGACATTATTACAGATTATTAATAATAAGACAGCGTTACTTTAATAAAGGGTATGGGCGTGTTTCCATACAGAATTGGCCCCACCCTGGTATTTAAATAATTTTGATGCCATTTTATAGGTATTTTCGAGGAAATTCGAAATACCAAATTTCAAATCCGTGGCTCATCACTTAGCCGAGATATCAGTGAAAACATGTGAAAGTGGCCTCTTTTTTCAAACTCATTTTTTGTCGAAAATATGAGAGATATCGAAAAAATGTTAACGTCATTCTATTTATACTGATCTTGTCTATGTTGTTCATAACAAATAATGTAAAACAATTATTTGTTAGTGCGTGAAAAGGTGAAAATGATTTTTTATTTTCCATTTTCTACCAGTGCTACTATTTTGGCTACTTTTATATTAGCATCATTCGAAAGCCTGTACATTTTTCTTCTGTTATTCAAAAATTCATTTAAATATAAGTAAAACTTTGGGTGAAAAGTTGGTAAAACTTAAGCTAGTACACGCGCTGCCGGTACAAGAACACCCATATAAAGTCGCTTTGCAAGTAAGCTCATCGTTTTCGCGCGTCTCGACAAATTATGTATATAAGTATGGAAATATTTATTAAAACCCAAAATTTATTTATATCTTGATATAAGTATATTCATTAGTCATAATAAAAAATCCAACGTTCCGAATAAAACAAAAATTATTATTATTGATTATTTTCTTTCGCCGTATAAGCTTCTGACTAATAATATTAGTTTCATTACATTAGTTTCATACATTGAAATATATTATATTTCAATGTATGAAAAACTTAAGATTTCAATATTTTTCATATATTAAAAGTATATTAAAAAATATATCTCTGTGAGCAATTTGTTTATACATAGAATTACACAAATTATAATCATTGTGGTTTTCAATGGAGAAAAAACGGCAATTATTATTTTTTGAATCGATATTAGTTTTGCAAAAAATATATTTTCTTTTCTGTGCACTATTTATGACTTGACTGAAAATGCAATAATTTTACATTTTAGTGATAATTTTATCATAATATCGAAAAATTGCAAGTATTACAATAAATATTTACATAGAAAGGGAATTAAATTGAGAAAACTGTCGATGGTGCAGAATTGTATAGTAATTACATAGAAAAAATAATTATAATTGTTTATACTATTTGCTGAAAAAATAGTATAAACAATAGTTGTCATTTGGATAGCCATGGATAGCCATAATAATTATTATTTTAACACCAGAGATATATTTTTTGTAATATACTTTCAATCCTTAATATGTTTTTAATACTTATATACTTGCGTTGAATAGCTATGAAATGTATTCTGACATATATTTTTATCGATTTTTCAATTCAATCCTCAATTTAATTCAGTCGATTTTTGTTTATTACCTCTTCTGGTGCCCGTGAAGTGACAACCGAAATCGGTATGAACCATAAAGGTTTGGAGTCGTCTTTGGTTCCATCGATCAAAAATCGTTCCTGGGACAATTCAAACACTCGACTGCCTTCTTCTTCGGGTTCCTTTTCTTCGACCATTAATATCGGATAACCAGCTTGGTTTATCCAGGCTGCCATGGTGTCCCCTGATAAAGAAATTAAGTTAGTTTACTATAAGCTCGAAGGACCTTTGCGGGTATTTTTACCCGTTTGGATGTTACTTACTTTACTAACTACTTACTATACTAACTTTAGTACTTACTATACCAACTTTAAAATCGGTTTAGGTAAGATGGTAAATGAGTTAGATGGTAGTTTTTCTGGTAGATTTTATTTATTTAATTTTTTGCCAGTTTGCTTACATTTTTTCGACTTACATTTTTCATTCCCTATAATTTATTTTCTATATATTAGTACAAATTAGTAAAAATTTACTAAAATCTAGTAAAAACTGTTGTATACACTTACATAATGAAATTTTGAATTGGAACACTTTTCTGGTATTATATTTAGTCTTTGGACTTTTGTTTGTATTTTTAAGAATTCCTTGGAAATTTTGCCCCGGACACTTTGTTTTATATACATCAGTAAAAACTAGATAAAATTTACTAATATTTAGTATAATTTGTTTTTTATACTTGCATATTGAAATTTTGAACAAATCGTAGTTGAAATGAAGACTTTAGTATTTCTATGGATTTAAGCAATTTTTTAACTGTTTTTCAAGTAACTTTTAATTTTCTTCTCGAACATTATAATTTGTTTAAATTAATAAAAACTAGATAAAATTTACTAAAATCTGGTGTAAACTTTTATATACACTTGGGTATTGAAATTTTGTACAAATCGTAGTTGAAATGCGCAAATTTAGTATTCCCATAATTTGCATTATATGGATTTAGGACATTTTTTTACTCTTGTTTAAATAACTTTAAATTTTATTCTAGGACTTTATAATTTGTTTACATCAGTAAAAACTAGATAAAATTTACTAAAATTCAGTAAAAACTGTTACATACACTTGCATATTGAAATTTTGAACAAATCGTAGTCGAAATACGGACTTTAGTATTTCTATGGATTTAGTACATTTTTCACTATTCTTCAAATAACTTTTAATTTTTTTCTGGGATATTATAATTTATTTTCAACAGTGAAAACTAGTAAAATTTACTAAAATCTAGTAAAATTTGTTATATACCCTTCTATATCAAAATTTTGAAAAAAATGAGATATTATAGCTTTAAAAGAGCATTTTTATATTTCGACTGTGTTGTACCTACAAAATTTTTGTTCATTTTTGTATTGTATATATTACCAAAACAATTTTCATATAATTTAAATCTTTAATTAAATGTTTAATTAAATTTAATAAAGTTTATTAATTTTATTCCCGTATTTCTAGCCCATTACAAATATTAGTTTTAGTTTAAAAAGCTTGGAAATTAAAATAACTAATAGTAAAGTTTATATTATTAAAGATTCAAAAAGTCTCTATCAAAAAATTTTTTTTAATATCTAAAATATTTCGGACGAATTTTTAATTCTCGCTAAAATTCTAAAGCTCACTTATATACTTGAAATATATAGTTTTAACCATTCCATAAAAAAAATGCAAAAAGCGGCAAAATTCATATAGATCTCGAAATTCGCGAGTGGAAAGAATATAATTTTGCAATTCAGTTATTATAATTCTCAGAAATATGAGATAAGGACCTTGAATTCTAACTCCGCTTGATAAAGTTTTGTTTATTTACTTTTCATATAAACATACTTAAACCTGGTCGCCCAATTTATAAGCTCTTATATTTTGTCTATAAAATACGAATAATGATTGTGACAGTAAAACATTTCCTTGAATATTTCATTATGGTACGGAATGTTCCAGCAATTTGCCTTAGAGAACTAATTTTCTAGTTAATAAATTTTACAAATTTTATCAAACGATCGTTCTTACTGACTGGTTTGCCGCTGGAATCCTCCAGCGCCTTCCACAAGTCCTCCGTGGTAGCGGTCGCGTACTCATGGCCCTGCAGGTACTGCTGCATCCCTTGGGCGAAGGGCTCGTCTCCGATAGTTGTGCAACATTTTCAAAACCGAAGCACCCTGGGAATAGAAACAAAACACTTGTATTTATTCATAATTATTTTGAATAGTAGTATTATTTTTTTTTACTTTTTTAAGAGTGATGGTATCAAACATATGACTGATCTCTTCAGATATCCGACTTTCTGGAAAACTGGGTGCGAAGTTCGCATTGCATCAGCTTCCATTGCCGGAGCCACAACTTCTGTTATGAATTGGTACCATGTATCAATTTCTGGGTACAGTTCCTCATTTGCCACATATGGCATGAATGTGGCGAAGGCTTCGTTTAACCATATTCCATCCCACCTTTGAAATATATGTAGTTGGTTTTAAAAATTCAAAAACTTGGAAACCTATTTCAGTATTTGGATTCTATTAAAAAGACCTTTCAAATGATACCTCACATGCCATAAAAGATAGGATCAAACAATTTTGAAGTAAAACTTCTTTAGACTCCTTTGCTACAACTTTGTAAAAGGGTATAGTTTGTGGATACAAATCACATAAAAAAACGTTTTTTTTACAATCTAATATTTTTTTGTAAAATTCGCATTCTACTCGTTGAGACCTTTTAAACGATACCCCACATGCCATAAAAGATACTATGTAAAATTTTTGAAGTAAAACTTCTTTAGACTCCTTTGCTACAACTTTGTAAAAGTGTATATTTTGTAGAGCAAAACACGTAATTAAGATTTAAGCCTTAATTTTCAAGAAAAAATAAATACATTTTAACATTCTAACATTTTTT